AAGTATTGTATCATTTAATCTATTTGCATACAGCCTATATTAAAGGTTGTCTCTATGAGACACAGTGCAACAGATAAAAGTTGGCAAGGTGAATCTCTAAGTTCCTGCCTGGAAACCTGGAGCAGATGACATGTACTCTCTGCTCCTTGTGTTCCTCACCTGCAACACCCTTCCTCCCTTCTGCAGGCTCTCAGTGCTGAGAGCCTTCGGATGAAGTCACCTCCCTAAAAAACGTCCTGAAGCCATACTCTGACAGACTAAGAATGATATTGTTCATCTTAATTTGCTTGCTGAACTGCCTTTGTTTAATCAAGAGGCTCCTCATGGTGCCTTACATGGTTCCTTAAGGTTAAGTCATTGCAGGGATAATTTGATCCTGTTTTTTATAAAATCATTCTCTTAGCCCTCTTGTTTAGTAATTAAATATAAAATGGTATTGAACCTACCTTATTTTTGGTAGGCAGTTTCCCATCTTTCCACTGGATTTCCGCACCCTGGTGTAGCCAATTTTGGCGTGGTTTCCAGGCTGGCTTAATTGTTTTCTGTGCTGGCTGTGTTACAGAGCGAAACTCGAGGACCAAAGAGGCTCATTATCTCCCACACCATAAGTGTGTGCAGCACCCAGATATTGTGCACCTAAAAAAAAAACCCAAAGCCTCCACCGCAGACAAGCACTGACGAGTGGGGGTGGGAGAGGAAGAGAGGAGGAATGGATGAGTGACATGGCTTCCTGGGGCGGTGGGGCCAGCAAGGGCATGCTGGTGCTGGTGGCCTCCATGAAGTGACTAGCAGGTTGCAGCATGGACTCCCTCTAGGATCCCTCGACTGAAATAGCAAGTTGGGGTGCTCTCAGCAAGAAGAAACGACTTGCCTGGTCATCGTGCTCTTCTGAGAAATGGTGTGACAAACCAAATGGTAAAAACCAAACCCTTCAGCCCCAGCGAAACACAACCTTTGCTACTGAAGCCTTCCAATGCAATCTGTTTTTGCTTCCTCCTCTCCTTTGTCTTTTTTTATCTCTTTTTCTTCCTCCTGAGCTACAAAGAAGAAGAAAAAGAGAACCAGAAATACAATTCACAGGGCCGATGGTTCAGGGAGTAGGTATTTTTTAATTCATACATTGTAATTGAGGTACATCGCTGAAAAAGGATTTCACACTTCAGGTGCCTGCAGCAATTTCATCAAAACACAGAGGTAAGAGGTGTCAAACAGTTAACCGGACAGTTTCACAACATGTCCTGTCCCCCGGTAACTTGCGGTTTTGCAGAGAGACGTGCACCACCCACCACGAGCGAGCTCCCAGCTAAGCAGCTCCCCTCCTTTGGTTCTCTTTTGCGCTCGCTGGGCAGCCCCACACCAGATTTCAGCGCCAGCAGCCGCAATTTGCAGTCCTTCGCTGCAGCCGCCGCAGCGTGGTCGCAGAGCGAGGGAGCCCTGTTTGGGAAGCGATCACGGATCCAGTATTTCCAAGTCAAACGCGACCAAGGAGAAGCGGCTGTGGCTGCGTACAAACTGCTCTTGTGCCGTAACTCTGGTCTAAAACTCGTGCGCAGACGTGACACTTTGCCTGTAACCCTGCCCAAACGAGCATCGCCTGGTCCTGCAGCACCCCTTGGCTACTGACCGCGGGTCCTGCCGCAGCCCGGTCCAGCGACACAGGCTGGAGCGCGCGTCGGTAGATGCAGCTACTGTCTTTACCCCGGTGCACTGCAGCTCCCCAAATCCAGCCGGGATGTGGAGGGATTTGCCTGTATGCAGGCGTTATTTATGAACGTGTTACAAAGTGCCAGGCTTGATCGATTGCATTTGACAAGCCTTTCCCAACAGCGGTGCCTACTACTAGTACTGGTGGACCAACCTCCAAAAGTCACTGTAATTCAGCAGCGGATGAAACCACCTCCCTCTGTTTTTCTCTCTTTATGGGCAATGCCTTGAGCGGCAGCACCGAATCTTGCTGGTAAGGTAGGCAGCTGCCCGTTGTTAACCTGGGTTGGGATGGTTGAAAATCCAATGTTTTGGATTGATGATTGAGAAAACAATGTTTTAGACTACAATTGTGCCTGCGTGGCTATGGTCAGCAACATCTTCCAGAGTTCAGCTATGTGATTTATTGATATCGTTAGTCACTTGGGCTGTGTGGAAACATTGTCTTTTAGTGACTGTGCAATTAATTCTTCTGTGTCCTTTTTTTGATTCACTGGGAACTAGAGAGACCATCCTAGTGCAGCAGAAAGGAAGGGAAGACTGTGAATCACTGGGTTTTTCAAGCAGTGGTTGCAGAACTACCTTCTGCCTAATTTATTCCCAAGCTTCCACTGGCTGTGGAAAGTGCCTGAAGCTCAAGCTCGGGCGTGGTGTGTCATTCTCAGAAATGAAGCTGCTGTGCAACTGAAGCCGCAGAGCATGGGATCTGACTGCCAAGCAAGGAGGAGGTCTGTAACTCACCAAAAATCTACACAAAGATGAACAGATCAGGAACCACCTGAATAAATGCACTTAAAGATACACTCAGAAAATTGAAATTAGTGGGGTTTATGAGTGGACCTCACATTCCTTCCTTCCTTATGTTTAAAATAATGAATCAACTGCTGACGTTGGCAGGTCCCTGGAGGAAGGGAGGTCAGAAAGAGATGTGGCAGCGCTCGGATGCGCATGCAGACACACAGGAACGCCGGCTGGGAGCGGGGTCCCTGCATTCCCTCGTTCCCTGGGGCAGCAGGAGCTGGCAGGGCAAAGGCAGAGCCTGGAAAGGACAGCCAGCATACGTGGCTCTTTATCACCAGGTAGGGGATGCTGTAAAGAATTTAAAGTCAACACATTTTTCCGACTGTAATATCCATCTCTGTCTTTTGCTTGGACGTTGCTAAGGCTGAAGGTTTGCTCTTTACTGAAAGGTGTTTAGCAGCACCCAGGTTTTCAGTGTTGTTCGGAAGGACTTTCGGAAGATTAGTGTGTTTCTATACTCAGAATAATAGAAATTCTATTATAAGAATTCTATTATAAGATAATATAAAATATATACTTATATCTATAAATAAGGCAGAAAATAAAATGGTTAAGGCCAAAAAGAATATTTCCTATCAGCAGAAAAAATACATCAACTGGGCTTGCAGGTCTTTTTTAAATCAAGTACAGTTCCTTTTGTGATCACTAAGTGGTGAAGTTCAGTTATGAGGACTTCAACAGTGTCTGCGAGCTTATGGGAAGTTCTTCTGTTTAACCTTTTATTTCAAAATTGTAACAGAGCTAAGGTGAGGACACCAGCAAAGCTTGCAATGAACCTTTGCATAGGTCACTCGCACCCTGCTAGGAGTCCTTGGTGCAAAAGGACGTAGTTTCAGCAAATCTTCAATGTTGTTTTCAGTTTTGGAAGTTGTGAGAGGCTAAAAATCAGAAATTAAATGTTTGCTTGTGAATCTCTATTTCAATGCCAGCAGTTTATCCTCTGACTTCGTCCAGAGCCTGTTGAAGCTATTTGCGTTGCTTAATAGCTGTAAAATGGTCTGGCAAACCCCACAAGAACTGTTTTTCATTGATTTCACATTTTGGTCAGGGCAGAATGCCCTTCCAGAAATCTTGCAGGAAAATGCAACTATGAGAATAACTCCAGGAAAGGAAAGTGAGACGTGATACCTAAAAGGAAAAAGAAAATATTATGAAGGAATCGCAGTTTGTAGAGTGGTGGGAATGAATTTTTGAACCTACTCAAAAGCATATCCAAAATGTTTCTTTAGAGGAATACTGATACTTAAGCTGTTTCTATTTTCAGATAATTAATTACCACTTGGGAGGAGAGAAGGAACTGTGTATGTGCAAGCAAGTCTGAGAATTTTTTTTGTCGTGTTATGATTTGGGTCCCTTGGCTTCCCCCAACCTATTTGCATGATTCAAGGTTAATCTGTGCGGCAGTTCAACTAAAAGAAAACATTTTTAATGTAATCATAGTCATTTGGAGTAGTAAGAATTTGCAAAAATGTAAGGCACGTAATCAGAAAGCAGAAACATAAGACAGCATTTACCAGTACAAGTTTGATTAGCAAATGAGGTCTCGCTGGCTGGTTGCACCACCACGTGGTGTGTGAGCATCCCGTGGGCTGAGGATTTTGTTGGTTTCAGCAACGTGATCGCAGCTGGGAGAAAAAGAGAAACACAGGCGTAAACATGACAAAGCAAAAAGGCACAAAAAACAATGACTCAAAACAGCTGTGTGAGCTATTTTTATGTCATCTCAGGTGAGGGCGGAGAGGAATGAGTGTGCTTGTGGGACGGCGGCCCTGTCTTTGAGGGACAGGGCTCTGGGGAAGGAGCATGGACCTGTGGAGATGGGGGCAACCTCAATGGAGGAGTGGGGAGACCAAGGGCTTGGTGATCTCCAACCTTAATGATTCTAAGGCTCTGCTTTTTCCCCAAGACATCGTATGAGCTAGTCCCTGGCTTGCTCTGGTCTCCTTGCCTGGAAAAAGAGTTGCAGAGCCGCTCCGCTGACTTACATGTGGGGTGTGGAACCCTAACCGGGTCCTCCGAGTTACATGTTGGGTGACACTTGTACTACTCACTGCAGCATGACTACTGACCGGACCCCCTTTCCCTGAGCCCAGGTCAGGGCCAGGGTGGCCTTTCCTCCTGACCCGCGCAGGCTGAGCGGCATCAGGCGCTCAGCCAGCTTAGAAACCCGGGCTTTTATTTAGGCACGTGCGAAAACCTAACCTTGTGGAAAGGGCAGTGGTGAAAAACCCAGCCGTCTAACCCTGTTACCCCTGTCTGCCTAGCAGCCCGACTGGGAAATCCTCAGCTTCTGGCTCTGACATTTGGTGTCATGTCCCCCCCCAAATTTTTGTTATTCAGCTGAGTGCCGGAGGGCAGGAGGTTTTTATGAGAAGCCTCTTACCGTACGTGCAGGGAGGGGGAATGTCCCTCAAGCAAGAGCAAAGTGTATAAAAAAGGGGAAGCGGCGCTCGATGGATCAGTCGCTCGCTTGTCTCGCTGAGGGCACAGCGAAGATGATGGTCGCTTGTCTGCTCCTCTCCAGCATCTGGACCGCTGTATCAGGTAACTCCCTCGTCTGTCCATCCGTCTGTCCATATCGTTGCTGTAAGGGTGGTAGGGACCGCGGCGGCCCTGCTAGCCTCCTGCTGTGCGGCTGCAGCCCCCCCTCGCACCCCCGGGGCGAGCCCGGGGTGACAGGGCACTGCGGCTGCATCGCTCGCCTGGGGCTTCAGGCGTGTCACCACTGGTTGCGATGACAGCATCCTCGCCTTAACTTGCCAGCCGTGCGCTTATAAGCTGCAGACCGATGTACGAATTTATTGCAACTTGCAAAGCATAAGCCAGGCAGACGTCCAGAAGCTCCCAGTGACCCATATGACTGAAGTTTGGGTTTGTCTCCTGCTGTGGCTGGGGTTTGGGGCAGTGTGGCACTGATTCGCTTTAGCCAGGGCAGAATTATTTGTAGTGATGGACGTGGTGCTTGTAGGTATCTGCTCAGGCCACTAAAAGTGTGGGGGTGTGACGTTTGGTTTTGTTAACTAAAAACCATGTAGAAAAGCCTGAAGTTGTTTCAAACTAGCTTCCACGGTCATAGTTTGTATTCTTCCTATGGCACTGCTGACCTCTGGAAACCAAAATGACTGGCACAGCTTCGCAGCTGGCTTCTTGGTCTCCTGCGGAGATCTGCCTGGCCATGGCCACGGCCACAGAGGGGCAGGACCTGAGCCAGCTTTGTCGGGCAGGTCAGAGAAGTGTGGGCACTGCACACAGCCTCACTCCTCTTTAACACCTGCAAAGATATTTCCCTTTCATGTAAACTGAATTGTGTGTTTTCAGTGCTGTAACTGTCCTTGCTGATATGTCCCTTCCCGTGCTGATGTGCACAAATAAACTCTAAAAACTGTTACCTAGGAGGACTGTGGAGCTGAGTTGTCAAACCTGGGAGTACCCATTTTTCTTGCCTGTCCCCTTAATAGTTTTTCAACATGTGTCTGTGAATTGGAAGAGGAGACTGATTTTTTTGTTTGTCTGTTTGTTTTCTTTTCCCTGGAGACCTTTAATACCATGACATCTATGCTATGAAGGGTTTCCATCCAAACAGCTGCTTCGCAGCTACATGGCCTCAAGCCTGAAATAGGAGGATGGATGCAGTTTGCCCCTGGTCCTCCCTACCTTGCTTTTTTCTTCTGGTTTTCTGTTCTCTTGTCAGTCTCTGACAAATGTGGATGCACGACGTAGGGCGATACACGTAAGCACTTTTAGCAGCTCTACGAATTGGCTCCTCACTGCGCCGCAGGAGGGCTCAGAGCGCGGTGATGCACCGGCGGCCGTCTGGGCGTTAGCACGGCCGAACGCTTAGGGAACCTCTCCACGGGTGCCCGTGGGATAACAGTCTTAGCAGACAGGGATCGGTCGCTCCCGACACTGGAGCTGCCTTTCTCGGTGGTGCTCCCTGCAGCACCAGCGAGGTGCTTTGTGCGAGAGGTGTCAGGTCCAGCGAAACTCTCAGGGCAATTCTTTCCAGCTGCGTTTTCATTTTTTCCCTGGACGGAGGAGCAGAAAGACCCTCCGGAGCCGTTCTGCTCGGGAGTGCGGGCGAGGGGCTGGGGGGCCTCTGCTGGGGCTGGGATGCAGAAGGGTGGTGAGAAACGCTGAGTGCAGCACCCGTTTCTCCCCCAGGCTCCGTGCAGGTGATGCACAGGAAGGTCCAGTCAGTCCGGGCAGGAGGAAACGTAACTTTCTCATGCCGGTCGGTCACAAAAGAAGATGTGCTACAGGTAACCTGGCAGAAAGAGACGGACGGGGCTGAAGACAACATAGCGACTTACAGTACAATGAACGGCCAAAAGATAGTGAAGGGCTACATCGGCCACGTGAGCTTTGCCCACAGTGAGTTACAGGCCTCGGCCATCTCCCTTCATGGAGTCACCCTCCAAGACGAAGGGTGCTACAAGTGCATCTTCAACACCTTCCCCTCAGGGGCCGTCACTGGCAAGATGTGTCTCAAGGTTTACGGTAAGGCACCATAATCGCATACGGGCTGTCTTCTAAGGACCAAGTCATTTTCCCCAGAAAAAAACCTTCCCTGACCGCTGGCCATGGCTAGATTGCTGTGGGAAAGGTGGCTCAACTTACTCTCTGGCTCTCCCTCCCTTTCTGGTTTTACCTCCGATGGGAAACCAGTCTTCAACAGTTCTTTAATTTTCTTCCCCTTTAAGTCAACAACAGCGAGATCCAAAAGCTGATGTGTAAACGTGTAACCCATGACTTCCTCCAAGTTTCCCTGGCCATGTGCTGTGCTGACAGCTGGCCTGCCGCAGCCGTGAACCCCGCGCTCCTCTGCTTGCTTTCACGCTGCTCTCGCCTCCTAAGCCTGGAAATCAGGCACTTTTTTCTTGCTTTGCCTTCGTTCTGAAAAAAATTCAAAATATTCAAAAGGCAGAGTGGTATGTGCATGGCCAGAGTATCTGGAAGATGATTTTGAAGCTATAGTAGAAATGACAGTAGTTAGGTTGGGTTCAGGAAAAGGAGGGAAAAAAAAAAAAAAAGGCTGAAATACAGCGCAGCTCGATGGCTTTGCCACATTAATATCTTGTGCAGGTCAACATCAGCTGCAAGGAGAGAGTTAAAACAAATTGTATGTTGAGGTTGCAATATTTGACACCTCCACATGAAATCATCAGCTACCAAGTACAAGCTGAAATACAGACAAATAAATGAACTCAAAAGGAACGAGGGTGAAAAGCTGTTTTTCTTTTGAGGGAGGGCCTTGGTTTTCTGACAGTGAGAAAACTGAGACATTAAACACACCCCGAGATCACCCTGCTAGCTTCTGGCTTTCTCATCGCTGACTCTGCTGCGGGGACGTTGGCCAAAGATCACGACCCATGAGGAAAACGTCAGTGTCTGGGACCTGCGGCTGGTGGTATCACCCCTGCAGAGTTATTTTGTTTATCCCTAGTACCTTCTGCCGGCAAAGACACAGACACATGCCCACACACATACCCACGAGCCAGGAGTCCTCTGCGTGGAAAAAAAGATGCCCCTGGCTTATAGGGGAAAGATGACTTAAGCAATAGGGGAAAAGTGGGGGGAAATACGAGGTGAAACCGAGTCTGGAACAAAGGTTCTTTTTCCTCTCTCTTGCGAAAGCTCCTAGAGCAGAAAAGAGAAATTAGGAGAAATTCACTCAATATTTCAGATACGAAGAGAAAGGTGTTCCTAAAAACACCCAGCCCCGAGTCATTCAGAGGATAAGCACTGATTTAAACAATTCAGGAAAATGTGGAAGTGCCTTGCAGAGGGATGCCTTTCTCATTTATTGTGTAAATCTAAACACAGAGTTAATTTGTTTTGTTTTCTTGTTTTGTTTGTTGTTGGTTTTGTTTTGTTTTGTTTTTTTTTAATCCAAGAGGGGGAAATATTTCCCAAAATTACCATCCTTGTGGCTATGATTCATCCTTTAGCAGAGCACCATCTTTAAAAAATATGTTTTTCTGCTGCTACACACACTCCTGTGAGCATCTCTTCCTGCGCCTGGGACGAAAATACACCAACTGAGAAGGGCTTCACTTCTCTCGTGGGCAGGCATGAACCTGCTGCTCCTGCCGCGCCCAGCGCAGGCTGGCGCAGGGGGTCACGGTGGCGTCCCCAAAACATCCTTTGTCGAACATGTCCTGGAGGGCCACCAAGAATGAACTAAGGGCTCGGTCCTGTGACAGAAGATTTTGGTTCATGTAGGGCGTATTTCATTGAAGCTGATTTATGCGATGCTACTTAAAACCACAGTTTTACTCCCTTACTCCCCAACTCGTAATGATGGGCAGAACTTGTCTGAACAAGCCCAGAGGACTCCCCGGGATGGAGCGTGAAGCCAGCAAAAAAATCAGGGCAAGGTGAGCAAGCCAGCTTACGGAGCCAGTAGCTGAAAAAGAAACGCTGCCATGTCTTTGCCCTCAAGAGGGGACTGCCAGGGAGTTTACAGGCTGGGAATTGCCCGATTACAACAGCCTTCGCAAGAGGGGCTGTTCCAGGATGGGCACCGTCGCTGCGTGATAAGGGGAAGTGAAACCATGTAAAAACTGGATACGACACCGTGAAAAAAGAAATGGGTATGACTGGAGGAATCTCGGACCTGCCTGTCTAAAAAACAGCAAACCCAAGAAGCAGCAGAAATTTCCTACCCTGTAGCAAAAACCATTTTGGGACAGAATAGTTTCAAGTGTGTTTGGCAGGTCTCTTTTGAATGCCCCGCTCCCCTTCCCCCTCCATTTTGCTTTGGAAATGTTTTGCCGACCTTCATCACCCAAGAGGATGAACCCAGCAAGGAGATAGAGTTAGCAGGTACAGAGAGAGAGGGATGTGCCACACGAGAATGGCCAAGACCTCCTGGGTCACAAAATTCCCCGGGCGTTTGCTGAGCTGTCTTCAGGGACCTTCTACCTTCATCATAGCTGGCACCACTCGCCTGGAAGGCTCGAGTACAGTGGAGAAAAGCCACCACTATTTCTTAGACAGGGAAACTAAGGCATGGGGTTGCTGATGAACATCCATACGGTTGGAAAAGTCCTTCTGTCATCACGAGGCATACTGTAATTCCTCAAAATTTTTATCAGTCTGAGATCTCTGTCAAGACTTTAAACATAAAGAGCACATCATGACCTGACAGTCCCCCTTTAAATACAGAAAGGCCTTTAAAGATAACCAAAGCTGATGTACTTCACTAGAAAGTCCCTTTTTCAAGTGCTCGGGAGCACTGCCACAGCTCGAATTTGGGAACGTTTGCGTTAGCGCTCTGCGAGAGCTACTAATGCAAGCACTTGTGCACAACGTCCCTCGCCGGTACTTTTTCACTGGAAAGAAATATCTTGATGAAAGACAAAAGCAGCAGTTAAAGTGCGTGCATCAAACATCAGCAGTGGGCACAGGCTAACAAAGTGTGGCAAGACCGTACTGCAAAAGCAAGCACTTCGGGTTTTGACTGTGCATCTATTAGAGACACCTGCTGAGGGGAAGTTCAATCCTACAGGATTTTTTTCACATGATAATCATTCCTTGGGGTCCAACGTGAGAAGAAAGAGGACTGCTTAGTCAGAAGAAAAGCAGGTGTGGAGCGCACGTGTTTCTGCCAAGATACGGAGCTATTGTTCTCATCCGCTCTGGAAACATCTGTGACAGCTTTCCTTTACTGCTTTTGGATGTTTCAAGCTAGCATTTGAAGTCAATGCTGGGGGTGGTTATGTTATTTTTATGCATCCCGTGAGCGAAAGAAGAAGTTCAGAGAACATTTTTTAATCAAAACATAAACTTATTGTGACACTTGCCTTTTCACACCCGGGAGATTTTGAGAAGTTCCAGCTGAAATCCCCCAACACACTTCTCTTGTTGCTCTCAGAGAAGCACTAGTGGATTTCATCAACTCTGCATGTGCAGTTTGAGTTTCTGTCTACGGGTGATGCAAAAAATGAGAAATACGCGCGCTTTTTTTTTATAGGCAGACACAACCATAGTAAATAAATGAGGTCTAGCTATAAAAAAAAAAAAAAAAAAAGGCAAAACCTAAAAACCTATAGTATATAATGTCTTGCTTCCGCCCTGTGACAGTTAGGCCTTGGAGGATCCAGACAACCTCGTGAGGTGCATCTGGAATTGTACCAGGAGGTTGTAGGCACCATTATGCATCTGGGATGAGCCTTTTTCCCTTTTAACAGGATCATTTGGTGTCTTTTACACCTCATTCACATGCAAATCCTTGTTTACCTCAAAAGAAGGAAAAAGAATCATTTTTCCTAAGAAGAATAAACAGATTTTTTGTTGTTGTTGTTTAAAAGTAGGATTCCTAAATGATAGCGATATATTTGCTAGTGTTGGGACAAAAATTAATTTCAGCATCAATGTTGTGCTGGCCAATGTTATTTTTGCTATGTAAATACATACATGTGGAATACTATTAAATACAGTAATAGATACTTTTTTAATCAGAGAGCATTCATATTAACTCAGACTTGGATGAAGCTAGAATTGCCACTGCACTTAAATGGTTAAAAAAAGTAATATTCTCAGAAACAGGCAGCTGCTGGTGGAGTGTGGTTGGGACCCCAATGCCATCAGCACATGCGCTGAAGGCAGGATGGTGAGCTGCCATACGGAAACCTGTGGATTGCACTCCCGGATGGAGGTACGTGCTTTTACAGATCTTGGCCTGAGCAAACTGAGCCAATGCGACTGGCTTTGAGCAGGGGTTCAGACTAGATGATCCCCAGATCTGACCTAAATTATGGTATGATTGTATGGTTGAGGAATAAACAGGCGATTTTCCACAGGGGATAGACGTGTCCTTATGTGTTCAGATCTCCCCTGGAGTTCTACCCAGGTTGAAAGCGGTTTCTTGCACTCCTTCCCTTTCTTTATTCCTTGCAAATACAGTTCCTGTAAGTAGGAATCAACAAGCAGGTTTCATGCAAGTGAGTAAACAAATCTTCTAGCATGAAAAGTTGTTCAGAAGAAATGATCTCTAACGAAGGTTTTGAGGCATACCATGATGCCCCCAAAACCCAGCACGAGAGGGAAGAAAGGAAGAAGGTTGTACAAACACAAAACTCCCACAGGTGTAACCACAGCTGTGGTGTAACCACATACATATTCACTATTACTGTCCTGTATTAAAAAAAAAAAAAAAACAAAAAAAAAAAAAACAAAAGACACAAACCAAAAAAACCCTTTATTTGTTCTTCCTAGGAAAAATGGTTCTTTTTTCCTTTGGGAGGTAAATGAAGATTTGCATGTGGATGTGTATAAGACACTGAATGACCCTGTTAAAGAGGAAGAAGGCTCATGCCAGATGCATAATGGTGCCTGTAACCACATACAAATTCACTATCACTGTCTTGCATAAATGGATGCGTTTAGTCCTTTGGTCCACAAGCCTGCACATCTCAAACAGCAATAAAGCTAGTCCTGCGGACAGACACATTTAAGGGAAAAGAACAAGAATTTTGACTCACTGAAGCAGTTCAGCCCTTTGACAGAGAGGAGGACATGTGGTTTCATGGTTTGCCTGTCGCTCTTTACTCATCCATAATCACCGCTTCTCAGCTGGGGTGCTGCAGTGCTGCCATTAATATCAGAATTGAAACACAGATGCTCCTACCCTCTTGTTCTTTGGTTTTGCCAAGCTCTTCATTTCCAGACTGATCTGGAACTGCCTGATCACTTTTGTGGTCATTTGTCACTGCTGGGGCTTTGGGGAGAGGGAGGCAAGATTAGATATCAAGGTTATCTTCCAAGATAATGGTAAATACAGATGCTCTTTCCTCAAATGTGTGCAAAAAGTAACGGGTTTTGGCACTTTTGTTTTACAGCCATCTGGGACCCCAAAGCGGAGGCTAAGCTTATATCCAGTCCAGACAAAGCTGAGGACTCTGAGAAAGTGGTGAGGATGAGCTGCTCAGCAACAGGAAAACCAGCTCCAAAAATCACCTGGCACCTTCCCAACATCCTGCAGCAGAAACCAAGGGAGTACCACATCAGGCTGAGCAACCAGACTGTGACTGTCATCAGCAATTTCACCCACGCCCGCTCCAAAATCCTCCAGGAGTATCCCATCGCCTGCGTGATCCAACACCCCTCTCTAAACGTGACCCTGGTCCTGCCCAAGGACACCGTGGTGCAGGGTCAGTATGAGACACTGCCCCTCTCCTGGAGCGGGGAGGCGGCCGCGAAACACCTCCGGGGGTCCATCAGGAAACCCCTCCGAGGGTCGGGGGGCAGGCGGGGAAGAGCAGCCAAGGCTGGGCTGGGGAGGGACAGAGGAGGTGCCGAGGAGCATCCAGACAACCTTGGCCGTGGCATTCACTGTCTTATTGCTTGTCCTGCACGCCGTGACGTGCCCCGGCCTCCCTGCCTCGGCCGAGCACTTGCAGGGTTTCCCTGTCGCGTAGCCCGACGCACCAAGAGGACGGTGCAGCTTTGGGTAGCTCGGAGGGCGGTGTCAGACCCCCAAGCACAGGTCTGCTGGCGGTGCCGCTTCTGCGAGCGCTGGCGGGCGCTCCCAGTGCCCCATCTGCCCTGCCTCAGCCCGGGGGCTGGCCAGGGGATGTCTGACGCGGGCTTGGGTTGTTTTATTTTCTTCACGCACCGACTGAGTACCCGCTGCTTTCCCCACAGGTCTGGAGAGCAGCGTGGCACCGGCCGTTGCCATTGCAGTGGGGGTGCTGGTCCCCCTGACTTCCATCCTCCTCCTCCTC